ATATGCCCAGACAGGAGCACAAAAGAGTAGAGGGATTTAAAAAGGGGGAAGGTGGTCAGCTAGAGCTCTTCTAAGAGCAGAGCAGTAAAAATCAAAAAGGCATGTCTGTTTTATCAGCCTGATAAATGTCACTGCAAGGAGGAGCTTCTTCCCCAAGACATTGTGGCCCTAGAGATTAAACAGCAACTTTTATACTTACTTTCATAAAGCCAGTGGGAAGAAATCTGGCAGCACTATCTGCCACATTAATTTCTTACATCATTTCAAGCTACTTTGTCTTGTGCTTGGTGTCTTTGGTTATATTCACTCAAATATGGCCAGGGCCTCTTCTTCACTCTCCCAGAAAGCAAATGTGTTGTGTCCAGGGGTGGCTCTGATGGAGGGTACAGTGGTGTCCATCCCCATCACAACTGTAAAAACCTCACTGAAACTTTCCTTTGCCCCTCTGTCTCACAGCTGACAGGCGGCAGCAGAATAACACAGTAGAGGTAAGGGAATAAGGAGGTATCGGGGAACAACAGAAGCAGCAAACACCAGGTTACAAAGTGTGACAGATTGCTACTACATCTAGTTAGTTTTCGCAGTGGGGTTTCCTTGTGTGGTGGAGGGGGTGGTCAGCAGGGTAAAACAGTTCACAGAGCTCCCATATTTTCAGGCACCAGCACCTTAGCCCTCACTGGGGATTTTACTGGCTTCCCCCAAGGTCACAGAGGATGGGAATGTGGCCACTTAGGCTGAGCATGAAAGATGCAAGTAGGACAAAGGCTACAAATGTCTTTCAAAATTTAATGTCCTTTTTTGTGTGTTGTTGCTTTCTGCTCCATAACTAAACACTCCTGTCTTATCGTTATCTTGTTAATGAACAACCTGTACTGCTCCCACTCCATGCTACTAAATATTCTGCTGAGATCCTCACGGCTAAAATATATTAAAGAAGCCACTGAGAGCATCTATACACAGCTAAATTTAAACCCACCCCACCCCAGTCTGCCGTAACTACAGTGCCCAAGACAAACAGCCCTTGGCTAGTGCTCTCTTCACCAGCATGCTATTAAGCTTTTCCAGAAGAGAAGGCTTTATTTTCTCAAACTCATGCCTGGAAAGGAGGAGCCATATGGGGAAAAAACTCCAGCATCCCAATCTGATTAATCTCCAGACCTGTGGATACAATCCAGGGAGAAAGGGAAGGCGTCTGTCAACAAATCTCAGCCACCAGATCTACATTAGTCAATGGGAAAGGATGAAGCACGAGGGAACAACAAAAGCTTCTTAACATCCCTGGAAAGAAACATCTCAGAAAGAAAAAGAGCCTGCAAACAAAGAAATGCCATACAGGAAATACAAATTATCCACCTGATTTATTGCACAAGGAGGATTTAAATGCGATAGAAAATCCCAAAAGTTTCAGTATCAAGTCTATACTGTTGAGAAGAGGGAAAAGTTTACAAATGATGGTGGTTTATAAGCAAACTTCAGTCCTTCTTTCACTCCATACTGATGTGAGACAGAGTTTGCAGAAAGAGAAAGAGGAAAGCAACCTGGACTTCATGGCTGGATGCTGGAATTTCAAACAACATGCCAAACTGAGTGTTCCTTGATTCACTCTTCTCCAACATCAGCTTTACAAACCAGCTCGTTGTCATCTACCTCCTGATCCCTGGGGAAGGAGAGCTGGGATGGCAGAGGCCACTAGCTGGCACACTGGGGGAATAAGTTACTCCATAAGTCACTCCTCTTCTTGAGGCTCTGAATGTGCTGCAGAGCAGTGCTGCTCTTTTTGATGCCCCCTCCAAGGTGATAAATGCTGCTGGGAAAAGCTGTCCTTTGGAGTGCAGGGTGACTATAACTCATGACAGTCTTCCACAGCCTTATTGATGTCTTCAGATCAGATTTTCTGACTTAGTTTGTGGAGAGTTTATAGTAAAACAGTCAGAGGAATCTCTTGGGGATCTCCTGGCCACAAACATACCTGGAGAATTGTCTCTAAACAAATTTCTGAAATGCTGGTGCTAAGTCTGTCAGCTCAAGGGAGAAGCTGGGAGTAGCATCAGCACTAGGCACTAACACTGCCAGGAAACAACAGATAGGGAATGTAATCTTCAATTCAAGAAACTCAATTATGTTATTGCTTATCTAAGACTTCACAACAGGTCTCTTGGAAAGGGATTGAAATGTATGTCACGAAAATCAACGGTTTTCTGCATCCACACAGCAGCCACCATGCCATTTTTTAAATTTTTCTTTATCATTCGAACAACCCATTATTATAATTTTGGCGTCATTTTGGCTTGGAGCCTGAGTCCAGGACCAAGCCTTTAATGAGGCAGGTGTTGTGCAAACCCAGGGCAAAAAGACTGTCTCAAAAAACTTGAGAACTAAGTATATAAGAAGTGTGGGTATTCCTCCTTGAATAAACCCTGTATGCAGCTATTAGGAGTTCACTGACTTATTTCTTTCTTCCTTTTTTGTATTTTTATTTTTAATTTAATGCAAGGGATTAAGTAGCTTTATCTAAAGTAATGTAAACATCACTTAAGCTAAGTAAAACTTTCCCACCGTTGCTTGCCTTCGTTTATGAAACAGAAGTTTAAAACAATAAAGAAATACTTTTCCATAAGCACAATGGCTAGGTGTGCTGTAGAACAACTTGCTGGAGTGACAGAGTGAATAACAAAAAATAAATGTGTTCAAAAATTACCTGTAGACACTCTTATAAAAAAAGATCCCCGGAGGTGATTAGATACAAAGGCACAGCTAGTGTTTCAAACTTGCCTTGCCTAAGCTTGAGCAAGAGGAGAGGGTGTTCCAGGACAAGGATCTCTCCGTATTTGCTCAGGTCTCACTCTATTCCTGGGTACCTGCTGCCAGCTCTCCTCAGACAGAAAACAATGGACTTGGAAAGAACTTCTGCCTGACCCAGTATGAACTCTTCTTATGTAAAAGAACACAGCAAAAAAAAAAAAAAATACTCTGAAAAATAAGCTTTAAATTGCTACCTGTTATAATCAAAACAGAAAATCCCCTTCTTGCTACTGTCAGATCCATTTCTGTGAGGCACAGCAGCTGAACAAGATGACACTACACTGAGTAGGGCACAGTCTAAGAGGATGAGCCACAGTTTGAAACTAAAACAAATACAAAATAGCAATGAGCAAACCCAAAGCAAACACCACAGGAAGCACGACGTCCTAAGGAGATATTTGAAGATGGAGATGAAAGACTACTTACTTACACTGTGACATCCAGCACCCTTGCCCTCTGTTTTGGGAACCACTAGATGGTTTCTGCCAGCATCAATGTCACTCAAGCAGTTGCACCTAAGAGAAAATATTTTCAAAGGTTTATAGGCACTGCAGAAGAATAGCATAGTAAATCGTCAGTTCTGGAGAGGCATTTTCACATTCCTGTTAGACTGAGTGCAATGGCATCAATCTAAAGCCAGATGCAGACTACAGTGCAAACACAGGTTAATCATAAACAGTTGATAGAGCAGAACTGTTTTGCTATTATTTCTGCTATTTCTAAGGTCACTTGTGGTGTAATTCATTAATTCAAACAATAGCAGGTGATATATATAATTGGTAGCTGAGGAAGGAGACTGCATTCACCAGTGCCAAAACCTGCAAAAGAAATAAGATTATTCAGCTCATATAAAACTGGAACTTCAAAAGCCTGCAGAAGACAAGTCCTAAGCAGCCGCTTCAAAACCTGGCAGGCACCAAATGACCCAGGAATACTGCATCTAATTAGACTGATGAGACGACAACATGGCTGTGTGCTGCAGGTAGTTGTTAGACCTTCTATCTACAGAGGCTTTCCTTTGCCTTTTTTAATAAACAATGTTATAAATTAACCTCTAGTACTTTCAGCTCTTCTAACCTTTTGTGGAATAAAAGTTTTGCAATGGTATGTATGGGCTTGTTTCACTGAAACACGTTTTGGTTAGCTTCAAAGGCAAATACTTGTATAAATAGAAGAGCTCAAAGCATTGCTTGCAGATAGTTTATCTGGGTGGTACTCAGCCTTCTCAGATGATGGGCTAAAAGCAACTACTGAGACCTGTTGAGTGTGGAGGCCCAGGGCTGAGTGTCGAGAAGAGGGAGGAAAAAGGCACTGAGTAGGTCTGCTACTGTTGCGTTCAGAAGAACCTGGGGTTCACCCTAGGGACAGCAGCTCAGTTACCCCCCAGGCATGTCTAAGCTCCTCAGCAAGGTATCGCCCACTTCAGATTCTGCTGGTCCAAACACATGCCTCTGACAGCTGCACCTTTTCTCTGCAGAAGAACTGAGCACACGCTTTTCCACCTCTGCACCACTTTACATGCGCCCTGGCACCTCTCCCTCACAGCCCGGTCGTAACGTTTTGGAGAAGGCTGACAGCTTCACCCGCTAACTAGCGCACACCTGCGAAGCTCCAAAATCCCACATAAGCCCGGTGCTTGAAACAGACCTTCCCCTTCACCCCCCTCACCAGGCAGAGACTGAGAAGACAACGACGAGGCAGCAGCAGCAGCCGCTTTCCCACCCAATTTAGGATAAACCAGGGCTCCCCCCCACCCCGGAGGACTTTCGCAGGGCTCCTCCCAGCCCGCGTCCGGCTCGGGGGAGCCGGGGAGGAGGCGGCACAAGCGCGGGGCAGCCCCCGCACGGCACCGCTGCCGCTGCCCGCACATCGCGCCGGAGCGGCAGGTCCGCGCATCTCCGGGCATCTCCCGGGAGAGCCGCGGGCAGCGCGGGCGGAGCAGAGCCGGGCATCATCCCGGGCATCATCCCGGGCATCATCCCGGTGCCCGCCCCTGCCCCGCCCCGGCGGCTCCCGCGAGTGGCGGGGCTGCTCCGCCGGGCAGGGCAGGGCAGGGCAGCGCTCGGGGAGGCGCCCGGGTTTGCCCACCCGGCTGCCGCCTCCCCGCCCCCTTCGCCGTGTTTTTCTTGTCTTATTTTGGGCGGCTGCGGAGGGAAACGCTTCGCTCTCCGCGCCGGAGCCGGCGCCCGCCGCGGTGTGGATGCGTATGGAGGAGTCCTCGTGAAAGCAGCTCCCGACGTTTCCCCCCCACCCACAAAAAAACCCACCAAAAAAACCCCCAAACCCAAACAAACCACCCACTTGGACAATTAAAACGGTAAATCTGGCTAACTTTTCATTATCTTGCTTGCTGTGTGCTTATACATGTAGATATTTATGGCTTATCTGGCTTCATTTCGTCATCCTTTGGTTTTCGTTAACTAGCTTTATCTTGTGCTGCCGGAGAACTTGAAATACGGTTTGGAGCAGAGGAGGACTCTGTTTCTGCTTTTGCCTAAAGTTGGACTGAGGAATGAAAACCTTCCTAGTTCATACCAGCCTTGCAAACAATGTTCGTTTGTTTTATCAACCTGAACGTAGATGAGATTTCCTGTGGCAGCATTCCCTTGAGTTTGCTTTTCCTTAGTTTAATTTTTGCCGATGCTGTCTAATAACGGCAAAGATGTGTGTATGCTACACACATGCAATCCCATACACCGATTGATTTTGTATGCTGGCATTCCCATCTGAAATTCCAAGCAGGTTTTGAATCTCTTTATGGTGTTAACAAGTGAACTGTCTTCTGTTTTCATCCTAATTCAACTTGAGGATTCTGCAAAAGAAAGTCACCCAAACCAAATCAAGTGGTATTTCTTAGCTCTGTAAATATTTAGTTTCCTTTTCAGTGATGGAAGCATGCTGTGATTTGTGCAGTTCACTCAATTTGTACAGGTTCATAATCCAGAGAGCTTTTGTTTGCAAGGTTATTAATTTTATACAGTTACTGTACTAGTTGGATGCTTTATGAGACTGGGCAACTCCAGGCTTTCTGCACATTATGAAAACCAACTTTAGGAGATCATATGTCTTTGCTTTGTTAGATATTATAATTTCAGAGATTTCTGTTCTCTACTGTTCTTCTTATCGGAGTATTGATACAGCAGATATTTATCTAAGAAAAATATCTCACTGAGATGTCAGTATGCGTGGAGAAAAGAATGTCTTATTCTCATAAAAAAAGAAAAAAATGAGAGTATGCATGGTCGGTAAAAATTACTGACCAGAACTTTGCTGTAAAATATGAGCTAAACTGCCAAGTCTGACTCAGGAAAAACTCAGGTCAGTGTAGACTTTGTTGCTCTTCACTGATTTTTTTGACTTCTCGGGAAAGAAATCATGTATTGAGCTACCTACCCACACATGCATGTGCATATGTACCTGCACAGGCACACAAGCCAACCTGATACTTTTCAAGCACAGGACTTGTGATTTGAGTTTTTGAGCCACAGGGGACTACGAAGAATGCAGAGGAAAGGAAAAAAAAGGAGGAGGGATTTGCAACATTGACTGTTGGGCACATAGTTTAGGGACTTGGAAACTGGTCTCAGGAGTCAAAGCAGAGTGACAGAACCCCACGTGCTCTTCAAGGCGCCTGGCACGTGCCTCTGCTCTGAACTGCTGCTTGCTGTGATTACATCTCTGAATTAATATTTGAAAAACTTATGTTCATCCATTATCTGTCTTGTTAGTGTTGAAAACGGTATAAAAAGTATGTATTTGTTTGTTATTTTCAGTCTCTTAACTACTAAGATCTGTTGACCCGAGAGACAAGTATTTTGCTTAGGGGCTAAAAAAAAAATATGGTCTTTGCTCATGATCATAAAAACTGCTGTGTGCTGACACTGCACACTTCACTTTTTGCAGTGTTGCATGAAACAGGAATATAGAAGTAGGGGGGTTGTTTTCCTTGCCTGTGGGACACGAAGGGTTAAGTGACTGGTCAGCAGCGTTGCTCAAAGCATTAGTCACTCCAAGGAATATTACTTTGTGAACACTGCAAAAAAGTCAACAATTGCATCAAGTTGTTTTTAGATACTGTAAGTAGACTGCTCTTGATACTTCTGCCTCTTCAGAATTGCCATTCCCACCTTCTCTCTTTGGTGTGATTTCTGCCAAGTCCAGAATTCCACCAAGCCTGTCATAAATATCTGAAAGTTTCTTCTTTCTGCTTGTGGGGACTGAAGTACTTGGAGTGTCCAGGTAAATTAGCTCCAAGCCACTGTGAAATGTTAATGCAATAAATAAAACAGACTTTGAGGTAAGTCAGAAATCCTGCTCTCTTAAGAAGGTATTAGTCAAGCCTCTGATGGTGGTGGGGGGTTATTTTTCCCAGAAGTTTTGTGCTCTATAGCTCTTACAGCCTTCAGTGAAACCTGCAAATAAGCAAGTTTCCTTACATATTTCCTCCTTCTTCCTTCCTTCCCCTTTGTGAGCTCCAAATTACTTGGCTTTTCATCCAGGCAGCAAATAAAAGGGCTATCAGAATACACTCAGGCAGGAGTCACTCACTGCTTGTAGTATCTGACTTTTCAGTACCAAGAGCCCTTTTGAGCTGGGGTTACAGACAAAAAGGGCTCATGCTGAACAGGGCATGTCTCAGGGGCTCGTGGCATTTTGAGCTAATTCCACACCTGAGGATGACATACCACTGTTTTAGTGTTTGAGAGAGCATAAGTGATTGAAATTCAGATATCTTTAATAACTTACTAATGCATGGCTGTTAGAGGTGACAACTGAATTTATTGGATCTGAAAGGGTAACACCTTTTTGCATGATTTCCTTTAAAGTATTAATTGGAAAAAGCCTTATATACTGCCAGATTCAGTAGCTTGCCCTGGTAATAGCCCCTCACCCAGAAACAGGGGGGAAAAAAAGGCATAGCCTCAAAACTGCAAGAAAAAATTCTTTGTAAGACAGCTTTAGTAGTTGAAATCAGTTTTTATACCTTTGTCTTTTAAATGACTAATCTCTATCTGTGGGTGTCCATTTAACCTGTGATATAACTTTAGAAACTGCTGGAGGCAATTTGTACTTTAGGATCTCAAGTGATTAACGTGAGGTGCACAATCTCATGCATTTCAGTATTTGATGGGTTGTGTCTCTCGGCTTTGGATGCCTTTCGGTTTTTATTAATGTTACATTTTCATCTACAAGGTAATTTATGAGCACAAACAAAGGTTGCTGACTCTCTCATTCAAGCTTCAACTGTTATGGCATTTTTATACAAATGCTCATTTACTTTGTCATACCATTTAGAAAAAGGATCAGTGTGATCCATTATTCTGCAACTATTGTGTGAAAAAGTGATTCTATCAAACCATGTCCCCTGGTTATACTTTTTTATAAACTAATTATATATGTCAGTTATAATGTTGCCCTCTCCTACTATGCTATATTTCCAAATGTAATAGAGTTGGAGAATATTCAATCCAAGAACTAAACAAAGTATTTTTTCAGTTGGCATTTGATGTCTATGGTGGGAAAGTTGCCCCTGGCAGAGAAACAAGTCCTTCAGTGCATATACTTCACATTTTAATTAAAACCAGGGCACATTTCAGAAAATGCTGGGAATGTATATTATATATATTGAATTTCAAGTGTTATTTTCTTGATGGTTCATCTTACAAATTAGTAATGGAGAAAAGAGAATGGAATTGATGGTCATTTCCTCCACTCTCTCTTTATGTCATCAGTTCTCCTGCAGTTCCTGGAGGAAGAAAAGCACATGGGAGCACAGTAAAATATGCAGACCTAGGCATCCTTAGAAGTGATTAAACACTTCTGAGTTTCCCTTGCCTACACTAGGAGTGCATCACATGGTAATTTGGGAGGCTTACTTGGAAGTAGAAGAGCTACAAAACTGGTTTTGACTCTTACAGCTGTGCATCCGTGTGTGGGGGTTTGCAGGTTTTCTGCAGGGGAGAGGTAGAAAGCACAAAACTAAAGGCAGGATCTCTGGTTTTAAATAGTCCACCACGAAGCATCAGCTGCTCAGCACCACAAAAAGCCCAGCCTAAGGACTCCCACGTCACTGGCTTCTTCAAAAAATGAGAGGATTCGAAAAAGTCCATCAGCATATGAGCAAGTAGCCTCGTTGACTATGTTTAAGCATTGCGTCTTCTTGTCAAAATGCAAGCTGAGTTTTGAAAGTTTTGAGTGGCAAGCACCCCCAAATTTAAGATAAGGCTTATCAAAGTGATAAAATGGCTGCCTAAATCAATTTTTTTTCCTTATTTTTCCTAGAATTATGTGCTTAATTAGTTGTATTTTGTAAGAAACCATTACTGCGCTACGTTAAATGAAGGCGTAACTTTTTTAGGCTTTGACTGAACTTGATTTTTGTTGATGGTGAAAAATAGAACGGTTTGATGGCAAGAACATCCAAAAAGAGTCATCCATTGAGCTGGCTCATGTACAAACACAGCCTTTATGCCTTAAGTGCTAAACTTTTAAAGAGTCATTCTCCACCACGGGGAATATTGGACTTAATGGTGACAATCCTGCTAATAAGTTGTCTACAATGTGCACAGAGAGGCTGAGGTGATTTTGCTATCTACTTGCATATACAGATATTAATTTCATGGAAGCCAATATAAACCCCATGTGAATGAACAAAACATTGCAATGAACCATGAAGGAACATTGGGAATATGACTTGGTGGAGAAAGAGGAGAGAAAAGCAGAAACAAAAACCAAGAATCACAAAAATGTCTGATCAAGTATGTAGATTTTTGACAGACTAGGTGAGAAGGGCTGGAACTGGCTACCTCACCCACAAGAGCCACTGCTTATGCAGTAATGAGAGGTGATTATAATTTGATGGAATTCTTCCAAAGGGTACTTTGTACCTATTGAAGCGTGGTTGTATTTGGCAGCTTCTCCTGATTTGAGGAGAACTTCTGAACTCTGCTGCCATAAGTCACAATCAAAAATGTGACAATTTTAGAAAATGTTTGACCTTCAAAATAGAATTTGAGAGCTTTGAATTACTATACCTGTTAACTGCATAGTCCTGTCTGCAATAACAATTATGGTCAAAAAGACAACAGTCAGATTCCTCTTGCCCCTTTTTCACAGTAGTGGAAGTAAAAGTTCACTTTAATCAAGTTTCATTCCTTGTTCCCACTTTCTTCCTAAAGCTTTCTGTAGCTGATTTCTGCAGCAGCTGAACGAGCAGAACAGTTGGCTTGGATCTTCTCATGGACAGGAATGCCAAATGTTCTCTTCTTATTGCTTCCTACCTCTGACAGAGGACATGGTGTTCAGTGCATCACTCCT